GTTGGTTTTGCTGGCAGAGGAAATTTTGTTATGAAGATTTGATGTTTTTTTTTCGATTTTAATTGTTTGTTTGAGTGTGCGTGTGTGTTTTTTTTGTAGGGGACACGTGGATTGTGGGAGGTTCTGGATGTGCGTGGAGTGTGACACGTGTGATTGGACGTGTATCGATTTGAAGAGTTCTCTAGATGTAGCAATTTCCACAGGCTTTCGATGATTATAAAAAATTGGACGTGTATCGATTCGAAGAGTTCTCTAGAGGGAGCAATTTCCACAGGCTTTCGATAATAAATAAATAAATAAAAAGAAAAAAGGAGAGAGAGAGAAATTGGTCCGAAATTTTGGTTAACGGTGCAAACCGTGCAATTTATATAAGATTTTCGTGGAAAATTTTGTCTCCGTATAAAAAAAAAAAATGTTACGATCCTGTTACGGAATCATTCCGTCGGAATTTGTAATTGTTAGATCATCATGTAACCGTCGTGGATAGTTGAACTGACGGTTATCAATCCCTACGAAATAATTTCGTAATTGAACTGTAGAATCTCCCTAAAAAAAGATGTGAATGAATGAGTATTGTTTTTTACTGGAATGCATATAATAAAACTTATCTTATGTATTCTAATTGTGTTTAATTTAGAAAAATGATATAAATAATAAATTTTGATACAAATTATTTCTTGTTTAATGAGATGTATCTAAAAAGAATTCTTTCATAGCATAGAGGTCTAATGAATTGCGAATTCATTGAGGTGAAAACATTTTATAAGCCATCAGCCCAATACAAATATATTTAATGGAAATTTAAATCTATGACCCAATACCAACAAAGATTTTCTCACCAGTCCTCATCTTTGCGACGTAAAATCATCAACACAAATCTATTGACATGCCTGTTATAACACCTTCTCCATCTCTCACAAAACACAAGTGGCCAAAACACAAATCCTAAACCCACAAAAAACCCCAACACAACACTTACATAAACCCCAATATCCAAACTCATATGCTCTTCATCAACTTCTTCTTCTCTAATAGCATCATCACTGCAAGTTTTGTTCAAAGGAAACCCACAAAGCCCTTCATTTCCGATAAACGAGCTCTCGGTAAACGTGTCCATCTGGCGACCTCGCGGTATCCTCCCGACAAGATGATTATAAGACAAATTCAAGAATGAAAGGAATGTAAGGCTCGCTAGCTCGTCCGGGATTTCCCCCATCAGCTCGTTGAACGAGAAATCCAAAGATTCGAGCTTTTGCATATTTCCTATCGATTTTGGAATGTGACCCGACAATGCATTGCGCGAGAAGTTCAGGACATAAAGAGAATCGAGCCGCCCGATTGATTCGGGTATTGTACCTTGAAAATGGTTGTTCGAGAAATCGATTGAGGTGAAGACTGTTAGGATTTTCTCCATTTCGAGTTCTTGTCCTTTGAAGGTGACCATTATTGAATCTTGATAGTAAATCCCACTTGCTGTAAGAAAAACAAAATGCAGGTGATCGAGTTGCTGAGCTGGGCCTTCTTCCTCGTTTGATGGGTACAAATTTGCAGGCAAGTTGCCGTTAAATTCGTTCGAAGCAATGTCGATGATTTGGAGATTATGCCGTGTAATGTTATCACCCAAACAGCTAATATTGCCGTGCAAATTATTACAACGTAAAACGAGGACACGTAATTTGGACAAGTTCTTGAGCCAGCAAGGGAAAGTATCGTTCAAGACATTATTTCCGAGGTTTAGGACCTCGATATCTGAGCATCTATTGAAAGTTCGAGGAATTTTTCCTTGCAGAGCATTAAAACTGAGATCAAGACTCTCTAATACACAACCGACGGGAAACTCATCGGGTATTTCTCCTTCAAGATTGTTTCTTCCCAAATTCAATACATTAATTTCAGCAATTCGTAACAAGCAAGAAGGAATTCGGCCGTGCAGGCTATTATTCGACATGTCCAGAATGTGTAGCCTGCTTGCATTGCAGAGTGAGGGTGGAATTATTCCGCCGATTTTATTATTTGCTACGGAGAAGAAAAGTGAGGGCGTGAGGAAATTACCGATGTCGGTAGGGAGAGGAGAGGAAAAATTATTGCTCGAAAAATCGACCAAGACGGCTAAAGGTGGTGGAATTGGAATACGTCCGGTAAGCAAATTGGAATGCAAATCGAGATAATGCAAACCGCGAAAATCGTACGGTTCTTGAAGGTGAGTAAATTGATTATGAGAAAGATTCAAGAAGCGGAGAAATCCATCACCAACTTCCCATATCCAATTGGGGATCTCACCGTTTAACCGATTGTTCGAAAGATCAAGCATCATCAATGATGATTGGTTCATCAAAAGTGGAAATTTTTCCAAATTGCAAGATGCCAACATTAGAGTTCCTAAACGGGGGTACAATGATGATATGTGTACTTTTTCGTCCACTTGTATGGATAAATTGTTGTAAGAAAGATCAAGATTCACCAGGTTACTCATCTTTTCGAAATCGGTTAACTCAATGGAGCCGTTGAAGTTGTTTGAAGAAAGAGAGAGAGATGAAAGATTCTTTAGTTCAAAGAAAAATCGAGGTATTGGGCCTTGAAGACCGTTCACGCTCAAATCAAGGACTTCGAGTACAGAAGAACTATTTCTAGAGTCACTAACCGAACCATAAAACCGATTGTTGGAAAGATGTAATACTTTAAGAAAAGGCAATGAAAATGGAGATGTTGGGATGTCTCCATCGAGTAAATTCTCACTCAAGTCGAGAAAATCTAGACTTTCAAGGCCCTCCCAAAGGGAATTAGAAATTTGACCCGTTAAACGGTTGCCACGAAGATTTATCACCGTGAGATTCTTCAACAGAGCAAATGAAGGAACAGAACCTGAAAACTGATTTAGAGAAAGGTCCAAATAAGTAAGATGAGAAAGATTTGTTATCGAATTTGGAATTGGTCCGGAAAACCTGCAAGCCCTAAGATCAAAATTCAATAACATTCCAAGATTCCCTACAGATTCAGACAAATTGCCTGAAAAATTTGTGTAACTGAGCAGCAAATTCTGAAGAGACCCATTCACAGGAAAATCAGGCAAAGAGCCTTCAAGCTCTCGATTGCCACTCAAGTCGACTGTCTGCAAGCTCCGAATTCGGAACAATCTCTCAGGAACTACGCCAAACAAGTCACAAGAGCTCATAGTTAAGACCCTCAAATTCGAAAATTCTGCAAAAAAATCAGGGAAAGGGCAAGAAAATGTGTTGCCATCAAGACGAATGACAGATAAAAACCTAAGCTTAACCAAAGAGGAATCGAAAGGGCCCGTGAGGTAAGAATTGGCCAAGCTCAGAACCCTTATATTCGGCAAGGAAGATGAAATTGCACTGCACCAAACACGCCCTTGCGCAGAAACATTCACCCCGTCGAGGTAAAGCTCTCTCAACCTCGTGAAATTTCGAATCAAATTTTCCAAACTATGGCCCTCAAGCTCAATCGACGAGTAAATTGCAGAGGAAAGATCCAAAACGACTAACCTCGTTAACACCGAGAAATCCGGCGGGACCCGGCCCGCGAAGCCCGAATTGCTCAGATTCAGGCGCCTCAAATTCGCGAGCCTCCCGAATCCCGGCGGCAGCTGTGCCGGATAAAAGCTGTTTTGGGCCAAATTAAGGGTTTCGAGGCGCGCGAGGTCGAAGAGGCTGCTGCCGGAGCCGTTAATACCGCCGGAAATTGCTTCGCCGCTCAGATCGAGGCCGGACACGCGATTTCGAGAGTCGCATTTTACGCCGGCCCATTGGCAGTGGTCGGTGGATTCGGTCCACTGCACCAGCTTGGTCGACAGGGAGGAATCGTAGCTGAGGTTGCCTTTCAGCTCGAGGAGGAGCTGTTTGTCAGGCGGCTGGCCGGAGACGAATTTGATTGTGGTGCCGCCATTAAAGCTTGAGAAGGTTAATAGAATGAGTAAAGTAGTTGTAAAATTTTGAAATCCCATATGCTTTTTAGCTTGGCAATCACAAAAAATTGTTTGTTTTTTCCGTTTTATTGTGCTGTGTTAGGAATGGCTTGGTTTTAGCTATTAAATAGAGGTGTATATAATACTCACATTTAGTGGGGCCTATTAAAAAGAAAAAATTAAATAAAATTCGCTTAATGTGAGTGTTATATACACATTTATGTACATTTACTTGTAGCATTTTTCTTAGATTTATAAAAATCTCTATAGCTATATATTAATGATCTGACATGATATGAAACGTGGATTTAAATATTCAGGATAACATAATATATCGATAATTTTATTATTACATGACAAACATTTGAGAAAAAATAAATTAAGTGGAAAGATCTGGTTGGTTGGTCTTTCACACACTATAGCAGTAAAAGTACAGCTTTAAACATTCCAAGAGAAAAAATAAATTAAGTGGAAAGATTGGTTGGTTGGTCTTTCACACACTGTAGCAGTAAAAGTACAGCTGTTTTTCTTTGTTCATATTATGTTGGCCCACGTGTGCATGCATGTGCTTTTTTTAAAAGAAAAACCGATAGATTTCCAATAAAAAGAACATATAATTGCGAACTAGAGAACAGCTAAACAGTCGAATAAGTCAACTATTCAGTTGAATCTAGTTGGAGGACAAACTCATAAGCATCTAGCTCGAGACAGTTTAGAACCAACTTAAACAGAACACACTAAAACTAAACAAACACACAAAGCTTCTAACAGGAGAATAACACAACTCCCAGCACAAGAATACAACAGCTCCCAAATGGGAGAGAAAAAGAACACAGACAACTAGGTATAACAAAACAAATAACCAAAACACACACACAACAAACTAAAAACACCAAAACTACAACTAGAAAAGGACACCCTCCCCTCCAGCCACTCAGCACTTCGTACCTTCGTTGCCCAAACCGCTCTAAAGCGGGTAACAGGAGAGGCTCTAGCCCCCAGCCCAGACACAGAGGTCGAGAAATTCTCCCTACGATTAACTCGACCCCGATTGACATACCGAAAGCTCCCCCGAAAACATGCATGTGCTTTTAAATAATGTACAAAAAATATCAAAACAAATTCAAATTTATTATTATATAGTAGCAATTAAAAATAGAATGTTAAAAGCTTTAATAGCTTAACTTGGCAGACAAGGATTGTGAAACCCCTTTACCTCGGGTGGATTGTAAGAAAATACAAAATGATTACTATTTGCTAGTGCCCACCATTTTAACAGGAAAAATAAACAAACAAACACAAAAAAAGAAAGAGGATGACAACTTTTGAGTTTGGCATCTGATCCGCACCTGGAATTTATTGTGCGTGAGTGTGTAACCTTAGTGTTAAAATTCTCATGGACACTGAGTTATTAAATGAAATGAGTTGAGTTTACATTTGTTTGATAAACGACTGAGCTTGATAAAGGCTCATTTAGGCTTGAAAATACGATATTTCATATATTTTTTAATAGTACAGCTCGTTACAATTCGAACTCGTTTTTAGCTCGAACTCGACTTGTTAATATTAATAAATTACTTAAGCTCATTTACACCACTGGGTACTACCCACGACGCGATAGATTCGATTTAGCCTCAATCAAGAAAAAAGAAAACATTCACAAAGGTGTGCTCATTCTTTCTTTTTCCCCTCTGCACTTTCACGTTGTATGTAATATCACTAGTAAACTAATTCCTAAAAGGAAAAACTGTAATGGACTCCCATAATGTACTATATAGTATTACTACACACATTATGTGATAAGTTGAGTAGGTATAGCGACTTGAGATACTCGATACTATTTGGTATTTTCCCACGAAAGTTATTCCTCGAAAAATCTACAGACGTGAAGACAATAAGTATTTTCTTTAGCACATCTCAAGGCCTTTCATGTTAACCATGACCTGAGTCCTGATAATAATATCCGCTTAATTTCAAGACATCAAACCTTAGATGGTTGTGCGGTTGATTATGATGATCATTACTATCATTGGCATCGACTCTTATCATCATCATCCCGGTTAAATAGGATAGTATCGAGATATTACCATCGAATGCATTTGTAGATATCTCGATTGTGAAGCCTTTTCCAGGTCGGATAGCTTTCGAACATCTAATATCCCCGTAACACGTTTTCGACCGAAGGATTAAGACATACAGTTAACTAGAGACTTGGGTAAACTTATTCAACCGAAGGATTAATCCCGTGAAGCTGCAGTTAGAAAGCTAGAGCCTTGATAAAAGAATAAGACTCCCTATGTAATCCGGTAAAAAGCCGAAAAAGTTAATTGTGATTATTACAGTCCTCAAATATCGGTTTTCGAAAAAAAACGAGGCATAGTGCAACAAAGCAGCACGTTAGATCAAGATTTTCCAACATGGGCATGTGAAAAATGTCTTCTGGAAAAGAACCCACCAAAGAACAGTATGAGAGAGTTTGGGCATGATTGTAACAAAAAATTTCACTCAAAATTTCATTCAACTCAAAATCTAACTCAACTTTAACTCAATTCCACTATCCTCAATATTATCAATATAATTAAACAATATCACTCAATCATTCTTATACATCATATCTACTTTAATTCACTATTCACCACTCATATAATCTTAACTAACTATCACCTTATATCATATCTCTCCTATTTTTACATCAAATCAACTTTAATGATTTTATTTTAAATATTATTTTAATATAAATTTAAAATTCCACTAACAACTAACCATACCATCTTATTCCAAATTAACTCTGGTTAACCAAAAAAATCCACTTTGAGTGAAAAATTTTGTATCCAATCACGCCCTAAAGCTGTCAAGCTCAAGAAATTTGGAACTGGAGACGAGAGGTTATTGCCATCGAGATAGAGAACCGAGAGGGCCTTAAGCTCGGAAAGTGGAAAATGAGAAAATCTACGAGCCCCGGTATATAGCACTTATGCAGACTCAATGTTCTTAAATCAGTTAAATGAGAAGATATCACCTTATACCAATCATATGCATGTGAAGAAATATTAACCGTGTCGAGAAGCAGCTCTCTTAGCTCCAAAAGATTCCGAACAAGCATTTTTCAAATCCGCATTTTCGAGCTTCACTGGTTGAATGCCTGGATAAAAATGAAGACAAATCCAGGCTAACTAAACAGGTTAACTTTCAGCTGTTAGTAGTAAAATACAATGAAATTCACGTATTAATGTTCAACTTGTGATATATTCAATCAGAATTGCAGAGTAGAGGTAAATTATGAATTAAGCTTCTGATTTGATTTTCAATGCACTTTTGCGACTTTTGTTGCTCAACAGCATCTAAGAACTTCAACAACTTTCAGCTTTTATGTGAAAATTATTGAAAATGGAAACATAACAGAAAAATTCCCAATATTCAAGGTTAGATCAAACTCAAAAATGAATTCCTCATTAGGTTTTTCCATTGACCACATTGCTCAGACATATCAAGGTTAAGATATTCAAGACTAATAACAACTATAAGCCACCACAAATCCAAGCAAATTTAAGTTTATATACTCCAAATCAATATCCAAACCAGGAAGTCGTAAATCAACACCATATACCATATGAGCTAAGACAAGTAGCTCGAAACTTCGTCACAACTCTAACTTCTTCCAAATGTCATTGCATGTGTCGAAGGCAGTGAACTCTGACTGATCGAACTCAAACTTCTTGACCACTTTCTTATCTCTTGCCACGATATCTAGAGCGTGCGAGTTAAACTTAAACAGGTCAAATGAGCGATTTATTTAAAATGGGTGTGTCAAAATATAATGATAAGATCAAACAAAACATAAATATACTAAGGTTATATTTGGTAACCAAATAAGCTAGCTTATATCTTATCTGATAAGCTTCTCTGGGTAACTTTTCAAAAAAGTTCGTTGAAATTTTTATTTTAGCTAGCTTATCAGCTAATTTTACCAAACACTTTTATCATATAAGCTAGCTTTTCAGCTATAAGCTAAAAAACTATTTATAAGCTATAAGTTATCAGCTAGTTTTATCAAACATAGCCTAAAAGTTATGAAATGATAAGATCAAATAAAACATAAATATACTAAAAGTTGCGAAATGCATGCAAAGAAGGATACGGCCACATATTTTGGATTGGTCATAGAAGTAAGGAATTATATTTGTGACAGAAGCATACATTGAAAGCTTCATCCTGCAGAACAAGAAAAAATTTCATGAGCTAAAAAAGAAAAGAATGTTATATATATGTGCTTCATATGGATGTAGTATGTAGCAACTCCTTCCATCAAATGGCACCAAAATCCGCACATCGTGCGAATTTTGTTAAAAGGATCATAAGGAAAAAGGGTCCCAAGGGATAACATTAGGACCGTAAAGGTAATTGGTATTCACGCGTTGGTTCTAAAACATGATACCTCTAATAGAGCACATAGAGCGAATTATAGGTGCGCAAATATTCTGGATAAATAAGTGGTTAATGGTGCACCATTTAATTGAATTATTGAAGCAAGAGGTGAAAGAAAATTTTTAAATAAACGAACCATGGACACTTTCAGTTATCTACTATATCCAAGTTTTAATGGTGCACCATGATGATAATAAAATTATCGTGTTAAAGCTGGTTCCACATAATTATATGTCCACGTTTTAACGACATCAAACAGATAACATAACAAACGGTACGTTAAAAAGAAAAGCAAGATCCTCAAATTTCTCATGACATGACTTACTGAGCTCTTAGCTCGTCTCGTGCAAGTTTCTTGATGGTCTGCGTTTCTTCTTCACCAGAGATCATTTGCCTCTCTAGATCATTGATTTCTTTGACAATTCCTGTGTTCATCGTAATAGTAGTTGTTAAGAGACGCTGTCAACATGAAATGTATGCTTGCATATTCATCTGTATCATAAACAATACACACACACACACACATATATGTATATACACCCACAACTTCAATAAAACCCAAAATACTTATCTAAGATCCTCCTTAAGCACGCGTTCCAGTTGTTGTCCCTCGTCTAGCTCCTTCTGTAGAGAATCCAACTCTGCATCAGAGGCACTTTCAGAAGCTGCAGATGCTGCTTTTTGCTTGCATTCAGCTATCTTCTTTTCATAATCTGGAATGAATATGAATCGTCAGTCAATACAGCAAACACTAACAAACTTACACATGGTCACGCACTAAACATATCTTCTCGAACTATTTCTGTATCAATTTCTGTATCATATATATTATTACCCCATGAAATCAAAATCATGCATTTATGAACAAACCAACCTAAGACATTAAGAAACAAACCAACCTAAGACATTAAGAAACAAACCAACCCAATACATTAACACAAACATATTAAAAACAACTCAAAGTATTGGTACCAAATTAATAATCCAAACACCTGCCATTATATCTCTTTTAGCTCATAATTTTAAATCAGTTAGTCTGACAAAATGGATATTATGGGAAGATCAATTGAAAAGTTAGGCAAACCGCTTCAAATGCTAGCAAAAAAAAAAAAAATTACTGCCCAATGGTTCTCAGAATTTGACATTTAAAAGAAATGGAGGTAAATACTAACACAAACCCATACCAAACTACTCAATACCAATCTGAACTCCTGGCATTATATTTCTATTAGCTCATAACACTGAAATCTGATAAACTATATGAAAAAATGAATATTATATGAAGATCAATAGAAAATCTATGCAAATCGCTCCAAATGCTGGCTACAAATTAAGTAATTACACAAATACCCAGGAAAATACTGCTGAATTATTCTCACAACTTGACGTAGAAAAAAAATGGAGGTTAAAAACAGCCATATTTTTTTTTTTTTAAAAAAAAGCATAACCTTCGATAGATTTTTGAACTTCATCGAAATCTTTCACGCACTGAGAGTGAAGAACCTCCGATTGGCGGAGAAAATGCTTCAGAGCATCAACATCCTTCTCCTCCTTCAAAACTTCGATCAGATAATTGCTGTAGTTCAGCAGCTCCTCCATATCCACTTTTCGCGATGTCTCCGCCATTTGGGTCAGTACCAGATGAACTGAAAATGTGGCGCTCTAGGTTTTATGGAGTTCGCTTTTGGGAATTTTGTGGGGGTCGGATTTAAATTAAACGAATTTTGCGGGGATCTAATTGCAGTTCACGAGCAAGTGTATTCATGGGATTTCCCTTTAATTTTCTTTGGGCTGAAAAATATCAACCCCTTGGCCCGAAGTATTTCAGCTTTTTGGCCCAAACGCCCCAAAGTCACGGAATAGTTTAATATAGTTTTTGACATTTTGTCAACCATCCGCTTAGATTTGTGCAGAGATTCGTATTTGTGAATTCATGTTTTATTGTCATGATTTCGAATTTTTTATTTTTATTTCATTATAAAATGTAACTAGATTTTTGTTTTGTGCTTCTCATGACGTCTTCGTATTTTACTATCTTGATTTAGTGTTAAGTATTTTTATTTAATTATAAATATGATAATTAATCCAAATTTAAGCAACTTTTTAATTCTTGATTTAGTGTTATGTATTTTATTTAATTATAAATATGATAATTAATTCAGATTTAAGCAATTTTTTTTTATGTTTCTCGCTTTGAATCATGTCATATTGTACCTATCGTGTCATTTATCTATGTGATATTCTTCGACCTCAGGTCTAAACTATGGAATCCGAAAAGATTTAAAGTTTATTTCATTTCATCGCCTTTAAAGCACTTGCATACAAACCCTTAAAAGCTACTTTGACATATAAAGCACTTGCATAAAATAAATATAGAAAAATAATTTGTAATTCAAATTTCTACACAATTCAAGATTCTATCATACGTACTTGCAATCGTACAAAGCTATACCGTCAATAGCCAAATAATCGTTTGTTTTGTAAATATCTTATTATTCCTTTCTTATCTCACACAAAGCTATACTGTCAATAGCCAAATAATCGTTTGTTTTGTAAATGTAAGTACAAAGAGTTCATGACCGCAGCTTAAACAAAACATTTTACTTAATTCAAATTACACAACAAAAAAGAAATAGATATCACAAATTTGTTATCTAAAAAATTACACAACAAAAGGCAAAATGCATATCACAATAACAACGGTGTGCAATTGGCCAATTTCCTAAGGTTACAAACATTAAACTTAATGAATTTGAACAAAACATTACTCCCTCTTGGAAATAATTGATCTCTCCCATGAAACCAAATGAGGGGTAACAGTCACAGTTTGTAACAACTTTCCTTTTTATTTTGCTGAGTTAAAAAAAAAATCTATAGTTTGGGGCGGAATAAATATCTTGCACAGATTTAAAACATGATAAAGTATAGACAGCAAATATTTGTTCGTCACAGTTTCAAAGAACCAAGTAATTGAACTACTCAACAATTTACCAAATTGACAATGATGCATCATGGAAACAATAGGAGTTTAAAAAGTTACTTTCAAATCTAAAAAATATTAAAATCATGTAGAAAGACAACACAGAAACATACAAAATCCAACCAAGTGAATTCATGTAAATCATCATCACTATACAATTCAAAAACAAATAGACCCTGCAATTCTAAGATGAATCATATATATTTCACTTTAACGAAATATTAATTCAACAAGAAAAGGTTTAATACAATCAAGGCTATTAACAACAACATAAGTCAGCACAACAAGCAAACTTAAACTTAAATGCTCCAAATCAAAAGCCAAACCAATAATTCACAACTTGAGATCCATCAGTACTATAAATGTTACTACTAAACTTTTACAAATTCCTAATGTTCAAGGTCAGTTTAAGCTCAAGATGGAACTCCTCATTAAGTTTTTTGTTCTACTTAAATGCTCACAATCAAGGTTAATACATTCAGGGCTAATACATTCAAGGTCAGGGCAAACACAAAATGAACTCCTCATTAGGTTTTTCCATTCACCACAATGGTCAGACATATCAAGGTGAACTTACATTTATATGCTACATATCCATGTCCAGTAATACCACTTCTAAATGCAGCTACCTTTTTACAAAATCCAAATATTCAAAGGTCAGTTCAGACAACAAAATGAACTCCTCAATAGGTTTTTTTATCCACCACAATTCTCAAACATAACCAAGTTAATGCATTCAAGGCTAATAACAAACTGTAAGCCTCCACAAAATCAAGATCCATCAACATCACTTCTAAATGCAGCTACCAATTTTTTACAAAATCCTAACATTCATGGTCACTTTCAAGCTCAAAAGCAACTTTTTATGCCAAAGCTTTTCATAAGCAATGAATATCAACTCAATCATCCAAATACCATAGATAACATCAAAACAAAAACTCAGACTCTTACCACATCAAAGAAAATTATATGGGCCAACAAGAATTTAAAAGAAGAGTTCAAATGAAATTTCATTATCTCAAAGCAGTTGATCTCAGAGAGCATAGCCCACGCACTCTTACACAAACAAAATCCACGAAAACACAAGCACCATAAAAAAAAACGATAAAACCTAGAAAGTCCGACATAGATTCTGCAAACAGCCAAAAATAGGAAAGCAAACTACTTGGATCTCTGCCTCATCTTTCGGCGCTTCCTCTTCAATCTCCTCATGCGCTTCTTCTTCCACTGTTAGAACAAAAACAACAACAGCAATTAGGTCAAAAAGAAAAGGAAAAAAAGAAAAACAGGTGATACAAATTGCGGTTATAAACAATGTAATTGAGACTAATTGAGACTAATTGAGGATGATCTGAACGAGATATTGGTTCGAGATGAGATACCTTAGCTCTCATGGTGATGGCTGAATTTGCGACTGAACTTGAGCGCCTCCCTTTCGAGTGTAGAGAACCCCCCAAAGAGAAATGAGTGTGGATAAAAACCCTAGTGTTAGCTGAGGCAATTTATATAGCACATTTTTTTAGCTGGTGAATGGGCCTTAGAGTTTCGGGTCCATCAAACTCTAGTCCACTTCGACAAAATAAAAAATGGTCCTCTCACGTATATGTGCCCATTTTGAGCTTATTTACCAGCTTCTCTAACATTTTAAAAGAACTCATTAGTTTTTATTTTTATTTTTAGCTAATTTTACCAAAAATCGTATTATATCATATAGTTTTTTTCAGCTATAAACTATAATTTGCACTTGTAAATAAAAATCTAATTTATCAACTATCAAATAAGTTTTTTGTGCCAAATACAGTTGAAATGATTGAAATTAAGCAAATTAGAGTGTTTCTAGAGTTTAATGATTTCATAGTCAACTCATCACACAAGTTTTGCGTACAAATATTGTTAGATTATATGTTTGACAGTGTGATTTTGTGAGTTTCTTTTAGCCAACTTATATTCAACTGTTCAATTCCACTCGTAATTTCAATCTGTATCTATTGGCCGAATTCACGATGGAATCAATGGAAATTGATAAAGGAAAAGGTGCAAAACACCCATAAACTTTGATTATTTTTCGCTCATTTTGTCCATAATCTGTTTTGAAGCATGTTCCGTTTTCCTGTTTTTGGCTTGTGAAGGAGAAGAGAATAAAGAAGGGCAGCCAATTGTACTGTTAATGGTGGGCTTGCCTGGAAGTGGGAAATCTACTTTCTGCGACGAAGTCATGAAAATTTCTCCACGCCCATGGGCTCGCGTTTGCCAGGTTTATTTATATACATTGCTGTAGCTAGCTGTTGCTTGTAGAGGGGATTGGATAAATTTCTACCTGAAGATGAAGTGTTTGATGAAATGCCTCAATGGGGTTCGCATATTCCTGAATGCATTTTACGTGCTTGGATGTTTTATTGGAACTCGAATAGCCAGCTTTCATTTGCTTCTATACCATAATATTTTTTTTTTTTTTTTTTTCCGNGCCACGAGACAGCCAATTTCCTTCAATTGTACTTTGTTATTGCAGTTGATTAGTTTTTTTTTGTTTTTTTGTTTTCTTCTGTAAACCCGTTTTTCGTTTACCTTGTTCATTCATGCAAGTTTAGGACACCATTAACAATGGTAAACCCGGGACAAAAATCCAGTGCCTATCGGCCGCATCCACTGCCCTGAAAGATGGCAAGAGTGTATTTATCGACAGATGCAATATCGACAGAGAGCAGCGAACCGAGTTTTTAAAGCTGGGGGGCCCGCAAACGGTTAAACATGCAGTAATCCTTGATCTTCCAGCCAAGCTCTGTATATCGCGTTCTGTGAAGCGTACTGGACACGAGGGTAACTTGCAAGGCGGGAAAGCAGCTGCAGTTGTGAATCAGATGGTGCCGAAAAAAGAACTTCCAAAACTGAATGAAGGGTTTAGTCGCATCACATTTTGTCAGGATGATAAAGAAGTGAAAGAAGCTATCAATGTGTACGGCTCGTTTGGCCCGTCTGATTCTCTCCCTTCCGGTTGTTTTGGACAGAAGAAACCCGAATCCAAGATTCAGCAAGGGATTATGAAGTTTCTAAAGAAAATCGAACCATCAGTGGAAAAGGGAACTGGGCTCCAAAAGAAAACAGATTGTGATGCTCGTGAGAAATTAGAAAAAGTTGATAAATTGGACTTGACATCTAATTCAGGTGCAATTGGGGCCGGCAGTGTGCCTACATTGGCATTTCCTTCTATTTCTACTGCAGACTTTCAGTTCAGTCTAGAGAAAGCATCTGATATTATTGTGGAAAAAGTTGAGGAATTTGTGGGGAAGATTGGGAATGCCAGGCTTGTGTTGGTGGATTTGTCTCACGGATCGAAAATGCTGTCGCTGGTTAAGTGTAAAGCTGCACAAAAAAATATTGATCCCAACAAGTTTTTCACGTTTGTTGGAGATATAACTCGGCTCCGATCTCAGAGAGGTCTTCAGTGCAATGTAATTGCTAATGCAGCCAACTGGTGAGTTTTCTAACCACACTTGATTAATCTGACTGTGTTTATCAAATATGTGCATTTTTTCAAGTTAATGTCTATGATATTTTCAATGATAGTACAATTTAAGAATGTAGTAGTAATAATGCATCAATTGCTATAAGGGTGAGTGATTGGATATGGATTTGATTGTTTTTTTTTTTTTGTTAACCATAGTCAATTTTAAATTAAAATATTATTTGAAATCAAATAATTGAAGTTGATTTGATGTAAAAGTAGGAGAAAAATGATTGGAAGTGATGGTTAGTTAAAATTATGTGAGTGGATGAATAGTGAATTAAAGTTGATGTGATTTGTAAGAATGATTGGTTGATATTATTTAATTATTATGATAATATTGAGGATAGTGGGGTTGGGTTAAAGACTTAAAGTTGAGTTCTGATTGGTTTTTTTGGTTGAGTTTATTTTCTTGTTTTTTATCCAAGTTGCAGACTCACATGATTGTCGAGCATAATAAATACTTATCTATAGCATGGATTCTCTTATCGTATGCTATTTAAATTCCTTTTTTTCGTGCCCATGATTTTCATTTCTAGTGGATAATATTGAAAAGCTAGACTCTTTACAGGCGCCTAAAGCCCGGAGGTGGAGGCGTAAATGCTGCCATCTTCAATGCTGCAGGCATTGAACTAGAAATCGCGACCAAGGAAAGGGCAGTTACCCTTAGTCCTGGGAAAGCCGTGGTTGTACCGCTCCCTTCATCTTCTCCATTGTTTGCTAAGGAAGGTATAACTCATGTCATACATGTTCTTGGGCCAAATATGAACCCGAATAGACCCGATTGCCTTGAAGATGACTATATCGAGGGATGCAAGCTGCTCCGTGAAGCATACACATCACTTTTTGAAGGGTTTGTTTCTATATTGAAGTCTAATGGAAAAAATAACAAAGGATCATCAGAATCTGGAGATTCTCGAGCGGTGCTCGTAACTAAAGATGATCAGAAGGTCGAAAGAGATGCCATTTGTGAGCCCGAGAGGAGGAAAAAGTACAAAGGATCTCAAGAGGAGTTCAAGTCTAGTGGTGAGGGCTCGGTGGACGAGAAAAACGTCAAGATTAGCAAGTCTTGGGGCTCGTGGGCTCAAGCTCTTTACAATGTGGCCATGCATCCGGACAAACACGAGAACATAATACTAGATCTGTCGGATGATGTCTTAGTGATAAATGATGCTTATCCAAAGGTCTCCCTCTCTCTCTCTCTCTCTCTCTCTCTCTTTTTCAAATTAAGGTTTAATCAATCGATTCATTCTTCGTTTTAATCTCAGCATCGGATTTTACTGCATTGATACGTTTGACATGCGAAGAAGTTATATGGGCATTAGATGTTTGTCTTCAGCAATTAGTGCCGGAATTCTTTTTCTAATGGAATTTGGAATGTGTTCTGTTTCTGAACTAAATTCCATTCGATCTGTATATACATTCGAAAGCTTTGGATCTTGCACGAGATTTCTGAAATTTGTGACTTGTATTCTGCTTTGGAGCATGATTTTGGCTAAGCCAATGTCGTAGAATTACATGCTCAGGCTATTAGTTGGTCTATGGGGGAAAAAACAACAAATTTTCTGTATCACGATTAAATGTTTAATATGATATCCATCGTCGCATTTGCTTTTCTACGTTGATTTTGATTTTAGAGTTTTTATGGGTTAACGCCTTATGAATTATCCCAAGGTCTCTCTCTCTCTCTCTCTCTCTCTCTCTCTCTCTCTCTCACACACACACACACACAAACACTTAAAAGTACATCAAATTATATGAAACAAGTCCATTTTTCCCTACTGCAGGCACAGAAACATCTGTTGGTTCTTGCACGAGCTGATGGCCTCGACAGCATTGCAGATGTACGTGGAGAACACGTCTCGTTATTGAAGAAGATGCACAACATCGGCATGAAATGGGCTGAGAAGTTCCTGAATGAAGATGAATCATTGTTGTTCCGCCTTGGTTACCATTCGGTAATTTCTGTCCTAACTTCTGAAACACTATTTCTTACCAATTTCATCCCATGTATCAACAATTCTGCTTGGAAGTTAATACCCCATGGTGAAGAAAAGTGTGGTTTGGTTTGTGATGATTTTTTTTATTTTTTTTCTCAAAACATGCTATCAAGTCACAAAATAGCTTGAACCTCTTCTAATGGGTTGTTATTATTTTCAAGCAAAAATGCATTTTTAGTTAACGCCATAGCAATTTTAGTCCCAATGTTCCAACTTTTCACCTTTTGTTGCAGTCTTTTGAGTACTGAAATTGCAACAAAATTTAAAATTACAATACTTAAATTGCTAATCGAAAATATGGGAATTTCGGAATTTGTTGCAATTTCAGTCAAAGGACTGAAATTGCAGCAAAATATTAAATCACATGACCAAAACAGCGAAATGTTATAATCTCGGACAGAATTGCTATCGCGTTAAACGAGTAGGACTAAAAATGCAATTTCACCTTATTATTATTATTATTATTTTTTATCTTTGAACCTATTTTTCTGTAATTAAAATTTTCCAAATTCCGGCATATTTTTTTACACCTTTACAGGTCCCTTCAATGAGACAGCTGCACCTTCATGTCATTAGCCAGGATTTCGACTCCAATCATCTGAAGAACAAGAAACATTGGAACTCGTTCAACACTCCATTTTTCCTCGACTCGGTTGACGTCATAAAGGAAACCGAAAATACCGGGAAAGTTAAACCAAAAGACGAAAAACTCCTCGCGATGGAATTGAGATGCCATCGGTGTAGAAGCGCACATCCAAACATACCCCGACTTAAATCGCACATCAAGTCCTGTCGAGCCCCATTTCCTGCTGTCTTACTCCAGAATGGTTGTCTCGTTTCCTACAAAGGTACAACTTCCGACAGCTAATTCTTGCGAATAATGTACAACTTATGTGGTCTCTTATCTTTCGACTTAGATTAACATATTTTGCTTGTTTCGATTTTGGCCGGCTTTTAGATTCTTGTTTTGTTTTTCGGCGTTTGGTGGTGAAATGTAGAATTTTCTGAAATGGTTTGGGAACAAAGCACATTGAATTTGAACCTTGAATGTGGGTGTTCTCTGTTGTCGATTTTTCACCAGCACTTGTAATGATAGGAGTTTGGCTACAAGTTGAAACTTGAAATCATCTTCCTAATTTTCCAGTAATGATCAATTTTGAGTAGCCCCTCGGTCCCAATTTTTGGGCCTACTTCTCATGAATATAAATTATTTTGGATCCGTAGTTAATCTTGAAAAAGTTTATTGAGTTAAGTTTGATTAAGATTTTGAGTTCTATTAAAATGATATTTAAATATAATGATTAAAAATAATTAAATGTAAAAGTAAGAGATATAATTAGAAATAATTAAGGTAAAATTGTGTGAATGAATGAATGGTGGATTAAGTTGATGTGATGTGTGAGAATTGTTTATCGATATTATTTAATTATATTACTGAGTTTAGTTGAATTAAATNCAAAAAAGTGACCAAATTTCTTTTAACCAACCACGGCAGAGCAACTTTAATAAGGGGTTTGAGCAGAGGTTTAGGGCGTGATTGTATATGAATTGTACAGTAAATATCCCAATCAAAACTCAAATTTAACTCTACTTTAACTCAATTCCACTATCTTTAATATTATCAATATAATTAAATAATATCAACCAATCATTATCACACATCACATCAATTTTAATTCACTATTCATCCACTCACATAATTTTAACTAACCATCACTTCCAATCATTTTCTCCTACTTTTCCATCAAATCAACTTTAATTATTTTAATTTAGATATTATTTTAATATATCCACTAACAACTAACCATACTACTTTTTTTTAAACTCAACTATAGTTAAAAAATAACCAATTTTTTACTAGTTGAATTCATATCCAATCACCTCCTTACAAACTCAAACCTTGAGGTTTACGGTTAAATGAGACAGCTCTGAGGTTTAAAATTTCAAACCAGGTTTGTAAACAAAAACCTCCCTCAAACCCCATAAATATAAAACAGAAAAAATTTAAAAATGAGCAAAGAAAAGAGAGTACAAGACACAACTTTGTACGTCTTACATCTTCTCTCCACCCGCCTTTTTTACTTCATTTTATTTGTTTTATTTTGTTCAAATTTCTTGCTTTCTCTCAATTTATTTTGCAAAATAAATTGTCTTATTTTTTACGTTTTATGCTCTCTCAATCCAATATATATGTATTATATACAAATAATTTAGATTTAAATTGTTGAGGTTTTGCATTCATAAAAGTTAAAATCTAGATAAACTAAATTAAAATTATTTTAAATTTAAGATATTTAATTTATATTTATTGATTACTATTTTAATGCATTTTACTTTTCTGTTAATCTAATGTATGTATTTATGATAAATATGTGAAACATTTAGATTATATAAAAATAAAATTAAAGTTATAGTTTTAAAATATTAATTAAAAATAAGAGTATAATATTAATTATAAAAATAACTGGGAAACATGTAGGACCCATAAAAAAGAGGTTTATGAAGTTTGTTATTATTGGAGGTTTATATATGTAGGAGTAAGAATGAGGTTTTGGATGATGTGGCATATTAGAAATAGATAAAGGAGATTGTGTAGGAGGATTATCAGAGATGCTCTTATTATTATTATTATTATTATTATTCCAAAATAATATACCACATTTATTGAGTCTAATTCACATGTCCTTTTTTTTCAAAGAATTACAACGTCCAGCATCAACTGACAACACACAATTATTGAGCAACATAATGAATTACAACGTTCAGCGTCAACTGACAACACACAATTGAGCAACGACTAAAAATCCAAAGTCGGATTAGGTTCATCTCTTGCATAATAGAGACAATTGATTACCTTCTGAAATTTACAATACAAATCATACTTTTGCTACTATGTGCTGGAATGAGAAATCTATTGTTTGCTAAGATATAAAGTGGCAGTTTGTAATTGCAGAGCTATTATATTCCGGTAGTCAGTGACGTAGTCAAGATTCAAATTTATCTAGAGCTGACTAATACAATTAATTGAAATTGCTATATTAATACATCGTATGTTTTATATGATAATTATTCAAATTGTTTTTTTTTTCTTTTTTAATTGTTATTCTTTAAAGCATCATCTAATTATTAATTACTTTATATATTTGTGGTGTAGTTTATCTTACGAAGTGTACAAAAATTAAGACATATTTTTTTTAAACATTATAGCTTAAAGGTATATACATTTAGAATTTTTAAAGATTTTTTTTATATTTTAAAATTTTTTGTATCTAGGGTTTGACCTTTTATGATTTTTCAAATTATTGAGTTATTGTATTGAGTTTTTGAAAACTTTTAAAAGTTGTGAGAGAATTAAGTTAGTTAACACTAAAATTCATTAGGACTTTTTAAGATTGACTGAAAATTCAAACACAAATTATATATGTCAAATCTTACTACCAAATCCCACCTTTGAACTTAAGATTTACAATAAATATTTCACTATGTAAATTTTCTTTTAAAAGTTTTGAATTTAAAAATGACTTAAAATATCACTTAAAATCTAATAGATGAATGTTAATTACATTATTTATCTTAATCAAAATATGTATACTTGTTCAATAAGAAATTGTAAAATAAATATAAAATTAATAAATTAAAATAAAGTTTAGAAAAATACTCCAAAGTTTACCTTTGGTAATATTGATTTTATTAAGCATGTTTTTGTGGGATATAGGAATTTACTTATTTACTATTTTATTACTCCAACAATATAATTATCAATTATGTTGAATCACATCATTTTATTTCAAATAAACTTTAATAAGGACAGATAAATTTAAATATTATATTTTCATATCAAATTTATTCGTAATTTTTATTATNAAAAAAAAGAAGTTTCACATCAAAGTTGTATGATTTGAAGCTCCTAAATATTCATATTAAATGTGAGTAAATTTGCGTTAATGAAAATAAAATAAAATAAAAAAATTGTTAATAAAGTGAAATATTTTCATTCAGATTAAAAGGAAGTGCTAATGGTAAAGTAAATCTTTTATTTTATTTTATTTTTTTTGCCAACTAAATCTTTTAATTTTAATTAGGCTAAGTCAAAAAAAGTAACATATAATACATTGTTCTAAATTTTTTAGGTAGGGCTATATGGCCCACCTTAGCCCCAATGTATAGTGATTAACCATTTATAGCAAAATCATCACCATTTTGATAACTTAGATATGTTTGTTAAAGGAAAAACTCAAATCAAATTAATTCTACTAAAAATTTAACTCAATTTTAACTCAATCCTGTTATGCTCAATATTATCAATATAATTAAATAATAACAACTAATTATTGAATAGTAATAATCAATCATTTTTACACATCATATCAACTTTAATTCACTATTCATCCACTCACGTAATTTTAACTAACTATCACTTCATATCACATCTTTCCTACTTTTACATCAAACTAATTTTAATTGTTTTATTTTAAATATTATTTTAATATAAACTCAAATTCCACTAACAACTAACTACACCACTTTTTTCAAATTAATTCTAATTAACTCAAAAAAATTCACTTTGAGTAAGTCACTCAAATTATTTCTTTAACAAACACACCTTAATTTCTAATTATTGGAAAATATAGTCATCATTTTGATAACATTTTCATTGCTCAACTGTCCATTGCACACCAAATGATGTAGTTTGTTTCCAATTCGTGTGGCTTAGAGCGACACGAGGCTGTCGAGGCATACCATGCACGATTTATTAAAAATTGAAACATGTTTCCGTAAATTTTAGATAATTGATTTTATCAATATTATAACGGTAAATATAATAATAGATTAGATGTTTGTTGTGTACGTTTTTTATAATTCAATTTGTGAATTCAGTGTAACATGGCCCAATAATAGGGAGTAAACTATTAATTCACATTTTAAAATATAAAATTATCGAATTTGGCATTGGAAATGAAATAAACAGATCTTTGTGGACGTGACAAGTAGGGCTGCAAACGAACCGAGCGGCTCGCGAGCGCTCGAGTTTGACTGAACTCGAATCGAGTTCGAGCAGCTCGAGCACGAACCCGAGTCGAGCTCGAGCCCATATTTTGCCTTGTCGAGCCGCTTGTCGAGCGGCTCGAGATACATATAAATTACGAAAATACCCCTTTATGTATATATTAACATAGGTCCTTAATGGTGATTTTACCTTTCCACTTAAAAATTTTCGATCCGAGCTTGAGCATTTCGATTTCGAGTCGAAATCGAGCCGAACTCGAGCTATTGTAATTTTTTTTCGAGTCGAACTCGAACAGCTAAAAGAAAAATTAATCCTGCTCAATAAGACCAATACTCGATTCGGCTCGACTCATTTGCAGTCCTAGCACAAAAACAATTGTCGTCAAGGAGGCCTAGCACCGCATATTTAATGTAGCGTCCATCAATCACGTGATTCGCACGATACAGACAAAATAAAGGTCTATTTGGACCACTATCTGTGGCCACTGTTTGACCTTTGTCTCCACATGCACGTAGACATGTTTTTATACGTCCGATCATATTTGTAATCAATGAACAATTTAGTGCCTAGAAGCTTGATGAATTCCAACTTCAAAACCATCCTAGGATTATAGTGATTAAATAGAATTTCATCTTTGCATATTAATATTACACTGGCAAATGAGGATGAATAATTGTCGATGTTGTTCGTCATTTCATTTATTCATCACTTTACTCGAATAAAATTCTACAATTGATAACATCCAAGATGAAACTTTTATGACTTAATATATCACCAATCGCTTATTACATACTACCTCATTTTTTTCATAAATGTCATTTTGACTTTATCAACAATTAACCAAATAAATAATGTTTTGAAACTTTTGTACATATTTTTCCATTATTATCTTTATCTAGCTAATAAATACACTACGTCTTTCATATTCACTCTTCATCTTTTCTCAAAACATTAATCTATATCCTCATTAATGAGAATTATTATTGGTAAACAAAATATTCTTAATTAGTGTGCAACTTCTCAAAATGATACTTATTAAAAAAAGAAGGGAATATAAAGTATGTATTTATGTCTGTCTAACAAAATATAATAGAGAAGTATGAATATGAGTTTGTCTAACTCGTATTTATCAAGCTCCTGATGTTCAAGTCGGGCTTGAGTATTTATTGAGTTAACGAGCTGATAAACAAGCTTCAACTCCTTAACGAGCCAAAATATATCAAAAGTTCATGACATTATGAAGAAAAAAAGAACTCCAATTTCGAGCCAAATGAGCCGAAGCAAGGTAAACTTCAAATTTACCGACTCTTTTCGTTTACCAATTTTAATATTACATAAATATTCATATTTATCATTGCATATTCATAGTCCATGAAGATCCAGTCCATGCATTCCCAAATGTAAGAAGTTCAATGAACGAAACTTTGAACAAAATATCAAAGACGTTTAATAAACTCCCATTGATAGTCAGAAAACGCAAAATAAACGCAGAAAATACGCGCGAGTAAAGAAAATTCTGAGTACACTTTTTGCAGCTTAAGAGAAAGTCTACTGTCTACTGAGGATTAGGCGGGCGGCTATTAGCTGCAGAAACTCTCGAACCCCACTCGAGAAGCTCTTTACTCGTATCATCCTTGTGAACAATCACCTCAATGAAGCACAGACAGTCCTTTTTGTCTCCAGTAGCAGTTTCAATAGCCTCAATGAGCTCCTCTTCACACCAAACCTAAAAAACCGATCCATTGGTTAATTTACATGGGTTAATAAAAATCCATATTCAAGCAGTAAAAATTAAAAAGTCTCAGTGAAATCCACATTTTCACCTTGGTTGTCCAGCATTTGCCTTCACCATTATCGATAGCATCGACCAATGCAGTGTAGTTCCAGTTCTTGATCACATTATAAGGCCCGTCATGAATCTCAACTTCGATTGTGTAGCCACCATTGTTAATCAGGAAGATGATTGTATTCTGGCCACATCTAAGCATAGTCGATACATCTTGGGCCGTAACCTGTTCGGCATTACACAAATTTTCACGAAAAAAAATAAAAAAAAATGAGAAAAATAGCTAGTTTGCTTCAATTTCTTTCTTTAGAACTCTTTCTAAATAAGATAGAAGATTTAGTTACGATTAGAAATTGCCTTTTCTATCTTCTGCCATGGATTCTTTACTACTTATTCCCAAAATGCAGGGATTGAAATTTGAAATAGTTCAAAATGCGTTGCAGAACGAGCTATAAAACAATTGATAGGTTTGATTCTTTCTGTTTTGCGATTTCATAATTGAATTTTGCAATTTCTAAGTGACTCGTTGATACAAATCATGAGAACACTTTACTCGTACTTATTCAATCGGAAGTCTCAGTCCAAAATTCTGTTTCTCGAAGTCATAATCCAGTTTCGCAAATTCTAAGTGACTCATGGATACAAATCATGAGAATTACGTATTTTTTCTCGAATTTCTCATCGAGAGGTAAAGGATTAAATCCTTTTAAACTATAAATCTTACAAAATGCGAGATTTCATAATCCAATTTTGCAATTTCTAAGCGACTCATGGATAGAAATCATGAGAATACGTCTTATTTGTTGAGAGGCAAAGGATTAAAATCCTTTTTTAAGAAATAAATCTTACAAAATACGAGGAAAACAAAAACAAAAAACAAAATACGAACGAATACATTTGGGTTATACCTGAAAGCTACCATCCCCAATGCAAGCAATAACCCGCTTCTCGGGCACTGCCTGAGCATAGCCCAAAGTCGCACCAACCGACCATCCTATCGACCCGTATTGCATCTGAAACTCATACCTATAAAAACACACAAATCAACCGATTAAAAAAGTAAAAAT